CACTCTTTTTCTGTCCTATGTCATCACTTTGAGCTGACTGTGACTCACCCCCAACAGATACCCTTTCCTTATCCGATGATGTGGCAACTGAGTCAGCAGACATATAACTACCTAATGATGTGGTCCCCCCCTCAGATTCTGTATCAGTATAGAATCCCACACCTGGACCATACATAACCCTCCTGGTTAGAAATTTAGGCACATGTATCAAAAAAAGATGATACCACCCATCTTTCTCAGGTGTGATATCATTATCATCTTTCAACCTCTCCCTCCATGTGAGTGAATAACACTAGGCGAAAATACATAAAACGCACTGGTTCAAACCCCCCCCCCTATAGCACCGGTTTTGAACCGGTCTGGATTTGGGGGGTGCTAAAACCCCAAACATTTCGCACCGGTTTAAAATCGGTGCGAAATCTGCCTTTTTGCAGAACCGGTGCAAAAAAACCTAACTTTAGGCACCGATTTTTGACCAGAACCGGTGCCTAAAGTACTGCGCGCCTTAAACATTAAACACTTTAGGCACCTATTCTTACTGTGAACCGGTGCAAAAAACCTTTTTTTTTTTTTTGGCTATTAATTAATTATATTAATACTAATAATAACCTGCACATCCTGCATTAATTCTACCATCAATGTATATTATAGTAACAATAATAATAATAATAATAATAATAATAATAATAATAATAATAATAATAATTGTTTTCCACCATTAAAAAGTAACTTTCCACCCATGGAAAAATTGTTTTCCACCCTTTAACAAAACAAACAAAGGAAAAGGAAAAATGAAGGAAAATCATATTCTAGCAAAAACAAACGAAGCCTAAATCACTCTCCTCTTTTTTCATCTTTAATTCTCAATACTCCCTTGCCCTCTTCAATTCTCTTTCCCCTCGATCTATGAACCAACCCCGTGCCCTCTTAAATCTTGAATACTCTTACATATCCCACTGATATGTCGTGTTTTGTGTATGTTATTTGGCTTATTTTTAGTTAGTTTTGTTAGTTTAGTTGAGTTTTTGAGTCCGTTTTGGCGTATTTTGGTTTAGTTTTGATAATCCGATGCTTTTATGGGTAGTTTTGTCGTTTTTGATGTTTTTTAGGAATAATGAAGCTAATTTGGATCCATTACGAAGCCATGAAGTTAAGCCAAGGCCCATGAAGCTTGATGATTGAAGAAAAGGCAAAATAGGGAATTTTAGAGCTAGGCACGGCCGTGCCTACTCCGAGGCACGTCCGTGCCTCCAAGCCATATGCAGCACCCTTTGTTTCGACCCTAGGCACGTCCGTGCCTAGCAGGAGGGCACGTCCGTGCCCATCAGAGCAGCCAGGCACGTCCGTGCCCAGCATCAGGCACGTCCGTGCCTGGATGACAGAAGCTGCAACAATTATGCTACGTACAGAGGCACGTCCGTGCCTGTGGAGAGGCACGTCCGTGCCTCCTGGGATTCTTGTGCGCCAAGGCTTGGCCGATTTTCTTATCTTTTTAGGTTTATATAAATACTTTTTAGCCTTGTTTTCTGGGGGAATCATTAAGTTTATATTATTTTTCAATTCCTATTATTAAGAACGAGTTCCCCATTATTTTTCTAAATTTTTGTAATTCAAGATTCAAGATTCAAGCTTTCTACTTTCAATTCTATTCAAGATTTGGTATTTATTATTCATCCTTTGTTATTTAATTATGTTTTCATTATTTATTATTGTTTTTGTTTCTTTAATCATGTGTGAGTAGATTCTTTAATTCAAGGTCTAGTGTAGCCCTATTATTATTGATGCATGAATTAAATCTTTAAATTCTTTAATGACTTTAACAATTGAATTGCTAAATTGATTGTGATTATGCCAATGCTAGGTTAGACGTAACTATAGTATTGCGATTATTCCATTGTTTTTATCACAGCGAGAGTTGGGTATAAACGGATTTGAGTAAATTAATTTAGGGTTTGATTCATATCACGAGAGTAGTTATGTTTGATAATTGGGAAGTCAAAGTAATGTGTTTAATGTCTTTAATATGCAAGATACCATGAGAATAGGATTGATTGTATGTTAGGGAAGCCATTGATACTCGAGAGAGATCCTTGGTATTAATTAGGGTTTACTTTTCCCCGTTCGATTGAAATCGTATGTTAAGGGTAGAATTACAATTGCATCGATAATAATTGTGGTGAAACTAGATCTTGGATGTTTTAAGTACTTGATTTAATCATCTCATTTAGTTTATTTTCGAATTCTTCTCATGCTTAGTTCCTTAGATAATTGATTATAATTGATTCTTGCTTAGTAGAAATTCGAGTCTATTTAATTATTTTTGAACCTTAGTCTCTTGGGATCCGACCCTTACTTGCCAGTCTACATTAGTATTGGTCTGTTAGGTTATTTTTTATAGGTACGCGACACGCCTACCACCCACAAAACTCTTTTTTTTTTTTTTTTTTTTTTTTTTTTTTTTTGAAAAGGTAAGAAAAAAGAAAGAACATTAGGAGACCCTCCTCATGAGGGGAACTCCTAATGCGTCGGATACAAGAATAGGAAATAAACTAGAGTTATTGCAAGGTATAATGTCCATACTATCACTAACTAAAAGACCAACATTAGCTATTCAGTCAGTTGCTCGATTTGCTTCACGATATACGTGTCGAATGCTCCAACTGTCGAAGTTGTTGAGAATAAGACGCATGTCTGCAATGATATGATCAATCTGCCGCAGGGCCGCCTATAAACCTTTAACTGAGTTAATAACCATGACATTGTCGCCTTCAATATATGGATGTTTTTGATGCCTTGTTCCATCGCAAGCAGGATGCCCTTGTGGAGAGCAAATGCTTCAGTTATGAAAGCTTTAGTGTTGCCGAGGTTGAACGTGCATGCGCATTGAAGATTGCCGATGCTATCTCGAATGATGATACTCGCTGCTGCTGAATTATGTTGAAACGAGCCGTCGAAGTTTAGTTTGGAATAATTGGTAGGTGGGGCCTATAAAACTCAATTGCCATTAACTATGTAGCAAACATCTTGCCACCGCTTTGTCGTGTATACTCGACTTATCATCTTTATTTGATATTCGAATTATCAACTACTCATTCCGTCCCATAATGTATTTTCCATTGTGAAATTTTCACAAGAATTAAAGAATTTGAAAAATGTATGATTTGCAATTATTATTTTACATTTGTAATTGAATTTTTTTGGAAAGTACACAAATAAGAAAAATATTATGGGACGGGGGAGTATTAATTTATTAGTTGAACCTTGGTTATTATCTTCTCATAAAAAATTGAGTTTGGTATTTTGGTGAATGCAAATATGATATTATGGGGTATGCTTACCCGACATTTGAGTAATATGATGGAGAGAACCAGAGAAATACAAGGTTGACATTGACAAAATACACGATATATTTCTGCTTATTTTCTTCTTTTTTTTTTTTTGCTCCATTGATGCATCAAATCGTTAGATTGTATTATATGGGTGAATTGTCATCAAATCGTCACTATTTAATGAATTCTACTTCAAATATATTAGGAAGATTTGTAAACTTATTGTAGGAATGTAGGCAACCAAGATGGACAATCCAGGAACATAGCATGGGTGGTGCGTCCTCCAATCCAGTCCTTAGGTGTGACAACTTTACTTACTATATTTCTAATTTAAATTTATTTATTAGTTATGATCTGTGTATGTAGTAATTTGTTTATCAAAAAGATTATGTTATGGGTTTGTTTAATTTGATCGACTTTTGAATCTGGGTTTTCGAAGAATTTTGAGGTTATTTTTTGAATTCATGTACTCTATTATGTTTGGTTTATTGTTAATTTAGGACAGTTTTACGTACAATGGCTACAATAAAATGGTAGCCACTATACTAAATAAAATCACAGCCGTTAATTTGTATTTGGCAATCAGGCTGTTCGTTGAGATGACTTGGTAGTTTTATAAAAAAAAAAAGAAAAACAACTTTGACAAAAAAAAAAAAAAATCCCCCCAATTTTTTTCAGTTTCCTTCTCTTCTGATGTACCGTACTTCGTAGTCTGCTATTCTTTTCTCTCTCTCTTTCACCCCTTCTCCTTTGCAAATCCTTCTTCAATTGATTGTTATGTTCATCTAATTATATGAAATCGAGTTTTGATCCCTTCTTCTCTTCCTTAGGTTGAATTTAGGGTTTTCTTTTTTCCCAAAAAAAAAAAAATTAAAGGAGAAGTAACTGAAAACAAACGTGGGGGGATTTCTTAATTTTTCTTGGTTAATTTTTTTTTGTTGTTTTTTTTTTTTTTTTTTTGGTAAAATTACAAAGTCATCTGATCGAAGGGCCATAATTAATCAGATACAAATGAACGGCTGAGATTTCATCAATTGCAGTGGCTACCATTTTGTTGTAGCCATTCAAAAGTCTTCCATCTAATTTAAGGCTTGCCTTGAATAATTAAAGTTTGGATTTTATGTGATGGGTTTGTTTGGTTTTGATTGAATTTTAAATCTGGGTTTTGGAAGAATTTCTCATATTAATAAAAATTAGAGTAACCATTAAAACCTAGGGTCTGTGTTCGTCATTCCCTTCCAATTCACAAAAAACAATTCGAATAACACCATACATACAAAACCAATATTTTCATGAACAACAAAAACAAATTATCAAAAAAGCGCAGTTGATAATCAATATCATCAAAACCCTAAACCCTAACTAAACCCGCCAAAAAAAAAAAAAAAATTACAATTTTCTCAAGAAAACAACTCGAATACATAAGAAACGAAAGCACCTTGCAAAATTACTGAGAATCGGGTTGAAATTATGAAGAATTGCCTTCGCTTCCTTAGCCAAACTGGAGGAACGCTTCTAGAATAGGGAATCAAGTTCAATAAGAGAAAATAGCACCCTTTCCCATGCCATGTTAGCTAAGTAATAATGTGTTTATGTCAGTTAACCAAGGTCTAACTCACCTTGAGTTAATTGATGTTAATTATCACCGGAAAGTAAATGTTAGGTCCTTAATTGTGAAAAAAAAAGTGAAAGGTCCTTAACGGTGAAAATGTTAAAAGTGAGGTTCTTCTTTTATGCTTAACTTATATTGTTTCATTTATTTTGATATTATTTGCAGATTTAAAATTTGTGTTTATGATATGTTCTGTCCATTTTAACCATTTATATTAGACATAAGTGATATAAGTGATTGAAACTACCCATTGAGAAACGTTGTAAACTTGTAACCCATATAAATCACATTATTAACAATTTAGCACGGTCACACGTTTTAATATTTTTAAAAATAAAAACTCAAGCATGATTTTACTGGAAAACAAAGCACTAAGTAAGGGGAAAAAAAAGAAAAAAAAATACACGGATTAACAAAAAAGAAAGAAAAAAATAAAAAAATAAAAAAATACGTAGTACATAATCCAGAAAAAAGATTCTTTCAAAAAAAAAAAAAAAATCCAGAAAAAAGAAGAAATTGATATGCAAGGAGGCAAGGACTGCGACTATAATTTTGATCCTGATGCAAACATCGTCCCTCTCTTAGTCTCTCCCTCCTTATCCTTCCTTATTTATTCCCTCCACAAAAACTGTATTTCAAATTCCAGAATTGCCAAGATCTCCAATCCAGGGACATGGGTGCTACCTCCTCCAATCCAGTCCGTAGGTTTGTTCTATATTTCTAATTTAATTCTATTTATTTATTAGTTATGATCTATGTATCAAAGAGATCATGTTATGGTTTTAATTTTGATCGAATTTTAAATCTGGGTTTTCTGGGTTTACTTTTTCTTCTGTGTTTGGTTTATTGTTAATTTAGGGCTTGCCTTGATTGAATTCTCTTGAATAAAAATTTAATGGTTGGTTTTTGGAAGTAAAGGCGAAAACTTGATCATCTGACTCTAAAGACTTGTTTTTTATTGCTAAAGTTTGGATTTTATGAAATAATTCAAACTGTTCCAATTGCGATTGTTATTTTGTTTCTACTTTGTTTGCAATTTGTTTTTCATTGTTTTGGTAATCCGTAATATAAAATTCCCCTATTTACCCAAAAAACAATATTGTTACTACATGAGATTCGGTTCTCTTGGTGAATTAGGTAACACTGGTTTCAATTTCAAACCCATTGATTATTTTCTGATATATTTTTCCTCCTTCAGGTGTAAGTTATTAGACTTGGAGGAGCGTAGGCCCATTAAACGACTCAAAAAAGGGGATTCTGCTCATGGTAATGGTATACTGTTAGAAGATAGAATCAGCAGTTTACCTGATGCTCTACTAGGAGACATACTCTCATTCCTTCCTACTAAGGATGCTGTTGTTACCAGTGTATTGTCTAGGCGATGGAGGCGTGTTTTCACCTGGGTAACACGACTCCATTTTGACGACTCACCTATATCTCTTTGTGTGGACCGTCCTTGTATGCCTGATTCTTTCCCCAATTTCAAGAGATTTGTTGATAACTTATTGCAACTGTGTCACTCTCACAACATTACCACTTTTAGACTTCACTTTGGCAGGGATGATCTAAGCCCTTACAAATTTAGAAGGTGTAAACAAGGTTGTTTACCTCAGTTAAACCCTATGCATCTTAATACTTGGATGTGTTTTCCATTAACCCGTGGGGTTAAAGAACTTGACATTCGTGCTCGCGTTAGGGAACCCGGTAAGCTGCCTTCGGCCCTCTTTGGTTGTCCAACACTCGAGGTGTTAAAGATCGATGTGAATCTTCATCTTGAAGTTCCTCTGTCTTTCTGTTTGCCAAACTTGAAAGAGTTCAATCTCACTTTACCCGTCATTCCTGATGGTGACTTCGCGACTAGGCTAGTTTCAAGCTGTCCATCCCTTGAACACTTGACTCTGGATGGTTACTGGAATCCTTTGAAACCCATTATTATATCTTCACCATCACTTCGTAGATTATCTGTAATGACTAATTGTTTTGGTAGTAGTTACCTAAGGACCGAGGTTGTACTTGATGTTACTAATGTGGAGTATCTAATGTATGACGACGTTTCTGCATCTCACTACTGCATTGGAGATCTGAATGCTCTTGTTGAAGCTGAAATCAACCAAACTGTTCCTGAGGATACGCTTAACCTTCTTTGGCGGCTGTCTAATGTTCGTCGTTTGTTTCTGATGGAATCATGTGTAGTGGTTTGTCCTTTGATCACCTTCAACCTTTTGTTTGTGCTTCAGAAATACTACTGTACTTTATCAATAGAGTTGACTGATTTGCTCTTTTTTGATCTAGGCTCTGCATCTTTGTGAATCAGAGCAGCTTAAGCTGCCTGTCTTTCGTAATCTGAATCATTTGAAGCTTGGTTGTTCTGCCTTTATTAGTTGGTATACATTGTTGATGGAGCTGCTTAATTGTGCGCCTTTTCTAGAAACACTTAGTTTACCGAAGGTTAGTGTGATGTCTTCTATTCCAGATAATTTAAATTGACTTTTTAACTATTCCTGTGAATGTTGTTGATATACGACTTTATTCTCTTATATTTTCAGGGAATCGTATTTGATGATGATGAGGAGGATGAACATTATATGGAGATGTCTGGGCAAGAGTGTAAGTCTTGGAGTTGTACTCCCATAATCCCGTCTTGTTTGGCGAGTAATCTCAAAAGAATCTCAGTACAAGATTACAAGCTGACAGAATGGGAACTGGAAGTGGTTAAATATTTTCTGAGAAGCTCATTAGTTTTGGAGGACTTGGATGTAGCTTTGGATTGTTGGAAGTCAGAGACTGAAAGGATATCACTCAACGAGACATTACAGAAGCTACCAAGAGCCTCAAAGACTTGTTCAATAAAAGTCCGTAGAGGGGACTGATTGTATGGGCACTCTGTAGTAGGTTGAATAACCAATTTGGCAGTGCCTCGTACGTTTCTCCGTGTGTTCTGTACTAAGTTATAAAGACATGACTGATAGTAGAGGTGGGCAACGTGCCGTGCTGGGCCGCCGCGGGCCGTGCCTCGCCGTGCCTGGTGGTGGCCCGTGTCGTGCCGTGCCGGGCCACCATTTAGCACACCCCAGCCCACGGCACGGCACGGCCAACATGCCTGGCGTGCCGTGCCGGGCACCGGGCCGCCTGTAATTTGTTTAATTCTTTTTGAACAACTTTTAAAATGGATATACTATTTAAATAATTTTATTAATTTATATTTATGTTTTTTATATTATTATTGTTCTTTTTATTATTTATTATTAGGAAAAATTGCAAGGAAGGTCCTTTAAAAAAAAAAAAAGTGGCACAGAAGGTCCTTTTATGGTGTTTTGGTTGTGAGGAGGGTCCTTTGATCAAACTCCGGCGTTGACCTTTATATTCCGGCCATAAAATGCCACATGCCGGTCACGTGACCTCTTAAATGATTTTGTTTTTTCTTTTTTTCCCTTTCCCTCTTCTTCCTCGATTTCCCCTTTCCCCTACAATTTCCCTCCCTTATTAACCCTAATTTGAGAAGAAAACTTCAATTCTTAACCTAGAAACTACAATTGAAGGCCAATTGAAGGCATTTAACGCGAGTCGAACAAGGGTAAGGTGGCAATCCCACATCAATTTCAAGTTTACTTTTGCAAATAGAAATTTTTCTTTGTTTGTTGTTCATTGTAGTTGCGCAATTAATGAAGGGGTGTAACTGACATGGTTAATTGGCAGAAGGATGTGATAAATGTGTTGTTGGCTGAGAAACACAGGATGGCCACTGACCAAAATGTCCTAAAGGCAAGAGTGACATGTTTGGAGCATGAGAACAGAAGACTGATTGAGCAAGTTCAGCAAATGCCTAGACATCCAATTGCAAACAGGGTCGGTGATGGTGTGATTAGTAATGATCAGTTGTTCATCTTGCTAGTGTTGTGTGCAATTGTATCAGTGTTGGCTAGTACATTAGTTGTGAAACTGTTTGGTTAAAGGTTGTATTAGTTGTTTAGGCATGTTGTTCTTAGTTGGAAATTTGTAATGAACCAATTTGGTTGTTCTTAGTTGGAAATTTGTAATGAACCATATTATTATCAATGAGAAATGAAATGAACACATATTTGGAACTAAAATGCTTCAATATTCTTGTTTAATTCATTCCAGAGCATTCAAAATACAACACATAAGTTCCAAAAGGCTACCCAAGTTCCAAAATGCTGTTAAACATGTCCATACATAAACATAAAAGTCACATACACATAAGTGACATACAAAACATGAAAGCTAATTTAAGCTAGCACAACTAAGACTTAGAAGCTGATCCCTGCAGTATCCTACTCATTGAGGTGGTCTTCTGCTTCCTGGGCTTAGCAACAGGGACCTTTTCTTTGCCCTTTGCTTGACTTGATGCAGCTGGAGTACCTGTTGGCTGGGAAGGCTGTGTTGATGCCTGAGACAGAGGTGGACCTTGAGACAGTGACTGTAATTGTGGCTGCTGTGAGGGGTCGGTTGCTGCAGTAGATGTTTGTGCTGTTGAGGTTGCTACCCCTTTTTGCTTCCTAGGCCTACCACCTTTGTTTTCAGCAGGTGGTGGTTTTAGAGGCCTAAAACTTTTCCTGGCATTGTGCTCTTTACCACCACATCTGGCACATGTGTTTGGCTTCCTTGCTCTCTTCATATTCTTACCTGTTCCCTCTCCCTGTGCTTTCTTCCTTTTCTCTTTAGAGGGTCTACCTGGCATGGCTCTGTAAACAGGGGCTGAGGCTGAGGCCTATCAGAATCACCCCATTGGTTATGTCCTGGCATTACATGAAATGCTGGAGCATATGTAGCAGCATAAGTGGCAATATGATAGGCTGGGTGTACAAAATCTTCATAGTTGAGTCTTCTTTTGGCTATGCAAGCTAAGGCATGCCAACATGGGATACCCATCAAAGTCCACCTATAGCAGCCACAAGTCTTGTTTTCAAGATTAACAACAAATGTCTCTTATTCATCATCCACCTCAAATTCATGCAAATCTGCTTGAATTATTCTCATGTTCCAAATCTGTTTCTGCCCTCTCTCAATCACCTTCACAACTGATGGCATGATTAAACCTTCAAAATCTTTCAAGCCTTCTCTCTTAGCACAACTTCTCTTCATGACATATCTTCTGATCCACTCCATTAAAGACAAGATTGGCTTTGTCCTAGCTTCCCGAAGGACATTGTTGAAACTTTCACAGCAGTTGTTTAGCAGCATCCCTAACTTTGCCCTATGACTAAAGCCATGTCTAGACCAGTGACAAACTGGTATCTCAGAAAGATATTGAAAAGCATCCCCACTCAACTTCCTAATCTCTTGCATAGGTTTGTCAAATTGATGCTGAATGGAAAAAAAACTGATCATAAGTACATGTATAAAGTTTGAGCTTTAAATTCAAGTGGAGGAAACAAACTAGTAAGACATACACACCTTAGTAGAACTCCTTGCAACCTTCCGGAAGCTCTCTTTGTATATCTGGCCTGGGAATTCGAGCTTAAAGTTTGCCCAAATATGTCTGCAACAAAACCTTGTTTTTGCACTTGGGATAACTGTGTTGAAAGCATCAAGCAGGCCCTGCAATTATTGGCACAGTGCAATGTTAATAATTGGCACAGAACAATCCTCACTCAATTTCATGAAAGCATTGAAGTTACCTTTTGTCTGTCACTCATGAAGGTAACTGGATCTTCATGCTCATGCACCCAAGTCACTGATGCAGCAACAGAGCGTATGTCATTGACCAGCAACTCAAGAAACCAAGTCCAGGTTTCTGAGCTCTCTGTTTCTACAACAGCCGAAGCAACTGGGAAAATATTGTTGTTACCATGTTTAGCAATAGCAGTAAGCAAAATCCCAGGCCAAGGTCCATTTAGATGACAGTCATCCACACCTAAAATGGGCCTGCAACTAGCCATGAATCCCTCTTTACATGGTTGCAAGCAAATGTACATCCTCTGGAAAATTGGTGGAGGGTTGTCTATGTTTTGTAGCTTCACAACTGCAGTGCTACCTGGATTGTACCTCCTGATTGCTTCAACATAATCCCATACTCTCTTGTACTCCTCTGCTGCATTCCCATGAATCATTTGCAATGCCATTTTTTTTGCATAATAACACTTGTAATACCCAGGTTCTACACCTAATTTTCTTCTCACTCTCTTCATGAAAGCACTCATTTTATATGTGGGGTCATCCCTCCAATCCTCCAAATACCTCTCAGGCCAGATACTCACTAGTAACATGTGTATTTACATGCTAATGCCCACATTTATGTTCCAGCATAAGACTTTTAATTTGAAAAGTCTCCTCATCTTTCAATTTCTTAGCATGTATCCTAAACAAACACTTCCTTCTAGTTGGACAATGACATGCAAAAAATTTTCCAAAGACAAAATTACATGCACACCTTTTAGCACAGTACACAGTTATCCTCTTACTCTTATTGTGCAAAAGCATGTAACTGTATCCATTCTCTATTGCATGGTGTCTTAATGCCTTTCTAAACACCTTATGTGAAGCAAATTTCAACCCAGCAGTAAGGTTAATCTTACTCTTGAAGTCAACATCAGGGTTAAAAACAGGGTACCTAACTTCTTCATCATCTGAACCAGCTTGACTATCCAACTCATCCTGACTATCATTCAAGTCATCATCATCTTCAACTTGTACTTCTCCCTGGTCATCACCTCTATGACTGTTCTGCTGCCTAGTATGAATACTCACCAAACTTCTATTCACATCTTCAGTTATCTCCTCATCAACATTGGCAGCAAACAGGTCATCATCACTTTCATCTTCAAAATCAAGATCACTCAAAACCACATCATCATCCTCATCCCCATCACAGTGAATAGCAGGATTCTCTTCACCTACTTCTGGAATGGAGTCAAGAGAAACAACTGGTTGTTGAGTGTATTTCAGGACCAGCTTCCTTTTTTTTTTGTTCTGGGTTGAAGAAGGGCTGGGTTGAGAGGCAGCAGTTTCATTTATGTTCAAGACAGGGATGGAGGAAGAAATGGGAATGGGTGGGCTTATATTTCCAGATCTACGGTTCCTGCATTCATTAGCATGTGCTCCCTCCTTTAATCCACTCTTTTTCTGTCCTATGTCATCACTTTGAGCTGACTGTGACTCACCCCCAACAGATACCCTTTCCTTATCCGATGATGTGGCAACTGAGTCAGCAGACATATAACTACCTAATGATGTGGACCCCCCCTCAGATTCTGTATCAGTATAGAATCCCACACCTGGACCATACATAACCCTCCGGGTTAGAAATTTAGGCACATGTATCAAAAAAAGATGATACCACCCATCTTTCTCAGGTGTGATATCATTATCATCTTTCAACCTCTCCCTCCATGTGAGTGAATAACACTAGGCGAAAATACATAAAACGCACCGGTTCAAACCCCCCCTATAGCACCGGTTTTGAACCGGTCTGGATTTGGGGGGTGCTAAAACCCCAAACATTTCGCACCGGTTTAAAATCGGTGCGAAATCTGCCTTTTTGCACCGGTTCTGGGGGAGAACCGATGCAAAAAAACCTAACTTTAGGCACCGATTTTTGACCAGAACCGGTGCCTAAAGTACTGCGCGCCTTAAACATTAAACACTTTAGGCACCTATTCTTACTGTGAACCGGTGCAAAAAACCTTTTTTTTTTTTTTTTTGGCTATTAATTAATTATATTAATACCAATAATAACCTGCACATCCTGCATTAATTCTACCATCAATGTATATAATAATAATAATAATAATAATAATAATAATAATAATAATAATTATTATTATTATTATTATTATTATTATAATATTATTAATAATACTAATAATAATAATAAAAATTTCTAAATTGAAATAATAACAATTTCTAAATTGAAATAATAACAATACATAGATATTAATTAATAATCACAAATGCAATACAATGAAGTGCCATATATTTACAACTCCTTGTAAAAAAAAAAAAGTGTCATATGTACAAACAATACTAATTATTAATGTAGTTAACAAGTTTAAATTAAAGTAAATGTGAAGAAAGACGCCAACATGTTTCGAACTTCATTAAGTTCTTTGCTCGTCCTCCTTTCTGTACCTTGCAAAACATGGATAAACAAACATTAGGTTAGAATTGTTAAAAATGGAACATATTAAAATATTTGGCTCAATAAAGAATAAGTCTGGGCTTGAGTTGTTAAAAAATGACCCAAGATGAAGCCAACTATCGCAAGCCAAATCGAAGCAATGTTCCTGCCAAACTGTTTTCTAGACATCTAAACAGTATCATATAATTATCAACGTTTTTCATTTTCAGATAGCTTGGAAGCATGACAGACCAACTAAGATAGCAAGATGAGTAATTCCGGAGTTGAAGAACCAAATAAGGCCAGAATGTCAAATAAACCTAAATATACAAGGATGGTGATATGACAAAAATTATTGCCAGGACTAATATTTCAATAGGGCAGTGTAGCTAATGTGATATAGTGAAATTCATAAGTGTAGTAAAGCAAAGAAATGGATATACAGAATAAACGAATAAGCAGAGACTTTAGGAAAGTTTTAAAAATTGATCGGAATCGGATAAGATTAAAAAATCATATCGCACCTACAATCCCAGACCTCCAAATGGCTAGACTTCCTAACTACAGGCTAAAAACAAAGTAAAATCCACTCAGCAATTTTCTGATTCTTTTCAATCTCCTTGATCACTACTATATATGTATAATCTGCTTTCTTTCCTTCTCTACTATAATTTATTCTCAAATTACTCCCCAAGCTACCTCATAACAGAATTCTATTGTCATTTTCTATAATGCTCCACCCCTGGGTTAGTCTATTACATTATGTTAAATAATACCTTAATCAATTTCTGTTTTTAAACGAAGAAATTCTAATATTCATCTCCTGGAGCTAACTACTCACCCAAACAAAAATCACAAAATACTTCTATCACAAATAAACGCAGCTTTATAGAAGTTAGCTAACAAATGGGAGCCAAAGGAGGGAGGGATTTAAAAATAATAACCAATTAATAGAAAGAAACAAAAAATTAAAGAGGAAAAATGAATTGAAGGATTAAAGCTAAGGGAAGACAACTACAAAGCAGTGAAATTTAAACACTGTCACAAGCACTAAACTAATTGCAGTTTCAACAAGTCACACAACTACAGTGTCTTCCAATCAGAATGGCAACAAAAAAATCAGAAATTGAAGGATACAATTGAAAAAAGATTAAAGTGCAAGAAAAAAAGAAAAAAAATCTCGTAATAGAAAATTATACAACAATAAAATCACTGAAAGTTAAAGCAATACATGTTACATTAATAAAATGACTGTAAGAGACTCTCTGCACTTATGAAGTAATGTATGCTTAAAGGGTGTGTATCACAACTGATAGAATAGTACCTTGTCTGCAGATCCGGCTATAACTGAACTTTCATCCTGTGGAACAATCTTAATGCTGGTAACCTGCAAAAAAATGCAATGAAGTGTAAATAGTTTAACATTTACTAGTCCATATGGCTTTTGCATTGCAAAACCACGCATAAGAAAGACCTTTGAATGACCACTTAGTGTAGATACAATCTGTCCAGAAGGTCGATCAAAGACAACAGCATTTGTATCAGTCCCTCCGGACGCAATGATATCCTATAAAAGCATGGATATATAAAAGCATGGTTTGAACAACGGCACTTCGTGCCCTGCTCCTCTTACAGTCGCAAATGTTAGCCCCTCGACCTAGGTTTCTGGTCAAATTAACACCTCTAACTACCATACGACTATACCATTAAGAATTACTCAGTAGCAAAGCTCAGTCTAGTTGGTTCATTGCATTATTCGAATCAAGTTCATCGCGACTAGGAATCTATCAAAGTTAAAATTACTAAGAATGCATGTGTTCATATTTCCCTATCCTTTCCTCTGCCTTGAGCTCCTCAAAGAAGGATCCAACCTACAAAGTTGGACTAGAATGGGTTTTGTTTTTTTTTAGGGAGCCACAATAACGGGTAATATTAAATTGAATTTTTGTCCATTTGTCCCATCATACCATCAAGAAAATACGACATATATCGTGCTAAGACTAACTTCATCCATTTGATACGCTCATTTTAAATTAGCCTACATTATATAATATTTAACTAATTGATGAAACTAGCATGTGCCCGTGCTAATGCATGAGTTTTTAAGTTAGTTATAGTGAAAGTCTGTTTAAAAACACGGCATTAATAATAGACAATAATAAAACTATCCGCTCCATACGACCACACCCACAGAAGTATACTACGTAGCAGATAGAAGATAAATGTTGCTTAATTGTTACTTACGCAGCTAATAGGTTGGTTGGACCAAATACGAAGATTGAAATTGCTTCAAGAGCTATTGTTGTTGAATCAAGAGACAAATATCTGGAATCACCCTTGCTGTACTCTTTCCCTATAAAATCAAAAATATTAGCAAATCGAAAAGAAAAAAAAAGGTAATGTCGTCGAATTATAGTGAAGTGAGAATAATCACCCTTTAAACTAACTGAAGGAGTTGAATTAATTGATATGAGCAAGAGAATTACATAATTCGGCGAAAATGGATCCAGTCTTGTCCTTGTAGAATTACAGACATGTTGTTACTTGTTAGATCAATCAACAATAACAACTACTATATCCATTCGTTTATGTTACGGAGTTTTTACTATGTTTCACATTCGATTGTTTCCTTTTTACACTTGTTCCCCTTATTAGATAACAAAACAAATAACCCATCAACAAAGATTAAATCATTTGAAGTAATTACTATATATTGAAGGAGTAAATCAATAACAAGAAGTAGAACCTTAATCCCAATGATAGTCGGCTATATGAACCAAAATTTTATCTAAGGAGGCGTGATGCTAGAATATAAACAGAGTAAATCGAGTAGAAAAAAAATAATACCTGAGAGAATCCATGTGAAGCAGAAAACAGCAATTGAAGCAGCAGCAAAAATACCCAAAATGGTTTTTGCAGAGTAAAGATTAGGGATAAAATCTGACGCATTAAAATCTTTTGGAAAATTAGGAAGATGAACCTCCATTCTTCTTTCTGTTCTTCCCCAAATGATCTTAAATAATTAAAAGAAAGAGAAGTTTGACTTGAGATTTGTATGACAGTACATACAAGTTTTAGATTAATATATATACAATCATGAATCATGGACAAGTAATGTAAGAATTAAAAGCAAGATTATATACAGTAATATAGTTACAAAATAAATGCATGTAGTTAATTGGTCGCTGTCACACTCTAAGTTCAGGGCCGCCTTAAACTTATCAGGGACCCTGAGCTAATGGAGTTGTATAACCTCGCCAGTCACCAGTCTCACCACCCTGGTTTTAACCGGGAGAAATTTTGAAGTCGAGCTAATCCTTAGCTTCCTACTAGTAGATTTTAACCATGCTCCTCATCAGCCTCATATATGTGGGAATTCTCTGTATGCAAGCGAAGGAAAAGATGTACTCCGTATGACAGTAACTACAGGAGGATTACTTGATACACAAAATTAACTGTCAACTCTCCATGAGGCAAGAAAGTAATAGAAGAAATCGAAAACTTGCTGTAATGCACAGAAACAGATCATGTCGCATTTTCTTAAGATTAAAAATTAGTTTAGGGCCAAGGAGAACACATTATCAATACAGATCAAACTCCGTTAAAACAACAATGCTTTGCAGAACATCCGAACATATATAGTCTAAACCTAGTCCGCCTATCTATAACATTCTCCGCTCTCTACTAAGTCCAAACCTTCTCATCAAAAAACAGATAATGTAATATTACCATCAACTTCATTTGAATTTTCTCCTGATTATACCATCAGATTAACACAACTTTCTCCTGCAGGCAGTCCACTTATACGGAATTTTAGTGGTATTAGCGTGGAGAGCCTTCCCATTCTGCACGTCTGGCCTATTGTAGTATTTTTCAGCATACTTTTCGGTACATGGATCATACCCGGATAACTTTCTCAAAATCTGACAGGAATCAAAGAAAAAATTCATTGATGAAACACAATTTTCAGACATATTCTGGTATAAGTATAACAGTGTAAGACTCAAACTTACATGATGTGGACGGCGAGGCAACTTCATGCTCCTGTGGATTGAAACAGCAGCAGAGCCATCAGAGTTATTACACGGTGGTGCATAGATGTTGTATTGATCGATATTTCCAAATTCTTTATCATGGTTCATCAGGCAAACTAAAGGTAAAACCATCATCTTACCTCGAAGCTGGTTCAATGGAGGTGAGAAAGCTCAGAATCGGTGGAGGTGTAGCCGTGACAAGGAGGCCGTTAGGGTAAAGATGTAGCCGTGCGCGCTTCAATGACAAACCCTATATTACCACAACCCTAAAATTACTAAATTGAACAGAAAATCAACGACAAACCCTAGATTGCGAAAGAAAATCAATGAATTCGCACAACCACAAGAAAAATCTTACCTCGAAGTGAGTTCAATGGAGGCCAGAGCTGGTTCAATGGAGGTGCTGCTTCAATGGAGTGAGAAAGCGCGTAACCAATTCAATGGAGAAAGAGCGAGCTGCTTCAATAGAGTGCAGAAGGAGATGCGAAAACACAGGGAGATGCGAAAACGGAGAGGGAAAGCTGGGAGGAAGAGCAGGAGATGCGAAAATGGGAGGGAAAGAGAAGAGCAGAACGAAGAGGGAAAGCAGGGGGAAAAAGAAAAAGGAAATTTTCATTTTTACCACCTTCAAATAATGACTTTGTCGAATTTACCACCTCCAAAAAAAAAACATTTACTTTACCACCTCATAAAAAAATTAAACATCAGTTTTACCACCTCATCTGAGCTCAGGTGACGGAAAACGCTTGTGGGGCCCAGCATAACGGCTAGTTTTTGATTTTTTCCCAAATTTCTCTCGATTTCCCTTTTATTTAAACCTAGTTCTTCATTTGTACACCAAATTCTTGCAGATTGGAGATTAATTTTTGCGATTTTCTTCACAAATCAGTATTTTTGGGCAACCTTAACAATCCCAAACCCTCTAATTATCAAACAATCAATTGAACTCCTCGACAACAAGCATCAAAAAGGTAAGCCATTGTCGTTAATTCTCTAGCAATTTTCGTGATTTCTGTTGTAATTTTTTGGCAATTCGTTGCGTGATTATGTTGCATTTGCTAAGAGTAATTGAAATTGGGCGTTTTGTGAGGTCAATTAAACCCCAATTTCAATTAAAATACTTAGGGTTCATGTAAGATTAAATTAGATTGGGGGTTTTTGTTATGTGAATTGGCTACTGAAATTAGGGTTATATTATGGTGATTGTGTTCAAATACAATTAATTTCATTCTTGTTCTTACTGAATTTCAGAAGGGAATGTCTTCAGTTAGCATGTCACCCTCAAAGGAGAAAAAATGCCAATGTGGAGTTCCAATGTCTAGGCTGACTGCTTGGACTAGGGAGAACCCAGGACGCAAGTTTAGGACCTGCAAATTCTATGATCCTGTGACTGAGTCAAGGGGGTGTAAAGCTTTTGAGTGGGTGGATCAACCAGATGGAACACCTTGGCAAACAGAGGTGATTAACAACTTGCTGCTGGACAAGAAACTAATGAAGGGAGAGCTGAATGACATGAAGAGGGAAGTTGATGATGTTAGTGGACAAAGGAGGTGCTTGCTCAATGAGATTGACAGCTTGAAGATGAAATGCAAAGCTCTTAGCTCAGACAGGAAGAAGATGATCAAGGAAGTGCATGGCAGCAATGCAACAACAAAGAAAATGCTCACAGTACATGCTATTGTTGTGTTTTGTTGTTTTGGTTTGGTACTGGCTATGTATTTTAGATCTTAGGTTCATTTAGGAATGCTTAGAAACAAAAAAAATCCCCAACTTATGTTGTGTTTTGTTGAATTATTATGTGTGGATGTTGGGATGACATTTCTTGTACTACTTTTAACAAAATCAATGAGAAATGGAACTTTTTGGTAGAAACATATCACATTTCGTATTAGTACTTGCAACACAATGTTTTTAATTGTTTTACATTGGCTGAGACAAAAGTTAAGGCACCTTTGTGCAAAATCATTGTTCAACTATCATTGTTCAACTACCAAATAAACTTGGCTGTCTATTACAAAATACTAATGAGTAGACCTAGGGTCACAGTTGATTGAGATCCTTGTCCTTCTTGCTTGTCATTACATGAAGCTTGGACCTGGTCTGTATTTTGACTTTGGGAGGAGTAGTTGTTGGCACTCTTGTGGGCTGACTCAGGCTCCTGTTGCTCCTCCTGGTAACAGGCTGAGTTGGCAAAGGCTCTGTTCTTGTTGCAGGCTGGCTTGACACAGCAGTTGCAGGTGCAGCATTACTTGACTCAGCCTGTGCTGTTGTTGGAGGCTGATATTGTGGCAACTTCAGTGCAGCCTGCAATCACAGTATGACAAGACTCAGAAACAAAGCCACTAAATACACTCAAGTCACAAAATTGATAAATTACCTGTCTTGCTGCTTTCTCTTCACTTTTCTTTCTCTGTTCCTTAAGCCAAGGAGTATGCATCTGTGGCCTCCCACCCTTTGGATTTGTTGTAGGTGGGTTAGGCTGTTCTGGTGCTGCTTCAGCCTTGCATGTTTTGGCAAAGTGGCCAAACCCACCACAGTTCTTGCATTGTTTTTTCACCTTTGGCTTCTTGCCCTCAGGTGCTGCAGAAGTGCCCTCCCCTGGTTCAAGCTTTCTCTTTTTTGCCTTAGGTCTTCCTGGCTGCACTTTCAGCATAGGTGGCAAAGGCTGTCTGAGCTTGACCTTTTCCCAATTCTTAGGGCCAGGCATTGGCTGTATTGGGTTCTCATATGCAGCCAAGTATGTCACCCTATAGTAATGTGGGTGCACATACAACTCAGGATCATCCCTTTTGTCCATTATGCAAGCAAATGCATGGACACAAGGTATTCCTGTCAACTCCCATCTATAACAAGTGCATTTTCTCTCTTGCAGATCCACAATGCACTGATCATCCTTGTATTTCACCTCATAAATTTCATCCCTTGAAGCTGTAACCTCACATGTCATGGCATACTTCTCCAACCCATCAAAGACTTTGTTGACAAATGGGGTTAGTAAACCTTCCCAAGACTTTGCTGCCTCCCATTTGTCATTACTCCTCTTCATCATATATCTTCTAAGCCATTCCATTTGAGTTAGAATAGGCTTGTCTCTGGCATCTCTAATCACTGCATTAAATGTCTCACACATGTTGTTTAACAACATGTTAGACTTGCAGTTTGTAGAGAAAGCATGCCTTGACCAGTGCTGGGGGTCAATGTTTGACAGCCACTGGTATGCTTCTTCATCCAAAAAATTGATACTTTCCATAGCAACTTCAAACTCAAACTGATACAACCACACACATGACAACCATTCAACACAACCATTCACAAAATAGAAAGACATGCAAATATGTGCAAAACTAAATGTTCCTAGCATACATTATAGTTCACCATAAAACTGACATAAAAGAACCTAAATAGAAGCTTACCAGAGTGCTTGCCCTAGCAGCAGCCCAGAACAATTCCTTGAAAGTTGCACCATGAAATTTCAGTTTGAAATTTGACCAAATATGCCTCACACAAAATCTGAGCTCAGCTTTGGGGGCCACATCTGCAAATGCTTCTATGAGACCCTACACACAAGGCAAAACTAACAAGTTAGTGTACAGGAAATTCAAATAAAGCAAAGTAATTTAAACACAAACACAACCCACTTACTTTCTGTCTGTCAGACATAAAAGTCAAGCCATCTCCTTGGTCATACACACAAAGTGCCTTGAGCAAGCTCTCCAGAAACCAGCACCAGCTGTCCTTGTTCTCAATCTCTGCAGTTGCCCAAGCAATTGGGAAGATGGAATTATTGCCATCTTTTCCAACTGCAACCAATATCTGCCCAGGGTATGCCCCTTTTAGATGGCACCCATCCACCCCAATTACTGGTCTGCAACCAGAAATGAATCCATCCCTAAGTGCAGCTAAGCACACAAACATCCTCATAAAAATTGGTCTTTCAATTTGATTAATATCATCCACCATCACATTACACTCACTCCCTGGGTTCCATTTCAGCAGTGCCTTCCCATAGTCCCAAACCTTTGAGTATTGCTCTGATGAAGAGCCATATATTATAAGCTTTGCCCTGCTTCTAGCCAACCAAGCCTTGGAGTATGTAATTTTGATCCCCAAGTCATTCAAGGCCCTGTCCTGAATCTGTTTAATCTTCCATCTGGGGTTGCCCCTGAACTCCTCCAAGTACCTGGCAGCAAGGAACTCTGCTGTCACCTTGTTGTTCATTTTACTCCTAACACACCTATGCTTCAGCCTTAGTGTCTTAATTTGCCAAGCCTCTGATTTCACAAGCCTTGTTGCATAAAACTTGAACCTACACCTAACACCCTTACTACATGTACACTTCACTATCCTACAACTGTTCTTGTTATACACACACTTGCATTTCCTTTTGCAATATGCTGTTAGCCTCTTTGAATCATTGTGAAGAAGGTAATACTCATACCTATTTTCAATTGCATGTTGTCTCAAAGCTTTTCTCAGTGTTTGCACATCACTGAACCTTTGACCAACTACAAATTTGATAGCCCTTTCAAAGTCTGTCTCAGGGTTAAACCAAGTAACACTACCCTGATCATCATCTGAATCACCTTCCACACTCTTTAGCTCATCAGAATCACAAGCTGCCTCCTCTTCAACCCTCACTTCAATTTTCTGTAGATTTCTTTCTATGTCAAACCCTGTGTCCTCATCATCACTTTGATCCCCTCCTTCAGTAACTCCCCTCAAACTGCCTTTCACCTCACTGTTAATATGGTCTAAATTTTTCTTCAACCACTGTTCATCATCATCAGAGTATAAGTCCTCCTCTCCCTCATCAACTTCTAACTCAAAATCACTCAACTCAGAATCAGAAGACTCTGTATCACCATCCTCATCACTAAACACATCACTGTCATCCCTTAAGCTCCTCACTCTTTCTTTTATTTTTCTCACTAAATTAGCAAAATTTCCAGTCTCATCCCCAACCTTAGCCTTACCCTTATCTGCAGCAGTGAGTTTACCCTTCCCTTTATGTGTATTAGCATTCACTTTCTCTGCCCTAGGAAGCCTCTCCTCAGCCTCTCTGTCATGTATAACAATTCCTTTTAACCTAGGGCTTCTCCTAAATGGCTCTTCTTCAGTGGGCTTACTAAGTTCTGGGCTGGGTTTATATACTTTAGGCCCACCAAACCTCTTTTTCAGTTCCTTCCTTTGTGCAGGGGTTAGCTTATTCCCAGCTATACATTTGAAGGGTGTTTTGTTAGTCCCTTCAATTGGCTCATGACTGGTAACATACATCTCACATGCCCCCTCTTTGTTCACAGACTCTAGGAAACCATTCACCTCACCATCAACAAGCTCCCTTTTACCATTCACCCAAGACTTGCCCTTTTGTTTATACCAGCAACTAAACCCCCTAGGAACCTTCACATTCGCATACACAAACCCATGTATAGCTGCTTGCCTCAAAAAGTGTACATCTATCTTATTTTTTTCCACTTTTCTCATCCAATAAACCCACCCACCATCCCAAGTTAACACCCTTCTATTTTTACCAGCTAAAGAAGGTATAAAGGCACCCCCTACTGTAATTTTTAAGTCCACTGTGTCCATTCTGTAACAACACCAACAAAAGCACACACAACAATAACCAATTTCAGTAATTACAGTAAACAACAACAACCAATTCA